TGGGGCGATGCGCAGTAACTCGTTAACGGAGATTTGCCGTGTCCGTCTTGTCGCTGCCTGCACGTGAAGCGATGGGGTAGGAGGGGGAGTTGTCTTCAGTGAAGGCGAGGCGGAGTAACGTTGCGTAGAGACAAAAGTGGACGAAAGAGAGGCAAATTTGCGGCTCCACAACTATAATTATAACGTAACATAGACTATATCGATATAAAGGATATTGTCACATCTTATATCTCGTATAAAAATATATCGATATGTTTTAAAAACTCGATATATCGCCCAGCTCTACCTCACTGTAACGCAGATCACTTTTTGGTGATTTTTTTTGTGTTTGTGTGCAATTTTGCTTTTTTTGTGGGGTTTTTGTTAGCACATTGTGTTCTGCGTCCTGATTGGCTCTAGACCACTGTCAATCAATCTCATGTCGTGTCTCCTGCACAGTACAGAAAGTGTTCACTTTGTCAAATTTATCGAAATCTTTGCTCGCTAGCAGTGTGACTCTGAAGTGCTGTACTGTATGTTTGTAAGTTTTCTCCCCAACAAACACAACAATGTCCACAAAACATTTTGCAGTGTCAAAGACACCTGCAGGTTCCTTAAGTTCATGATACTGGACGTATTTTTCTACAAAGGTTTGAACTTTGAGGGTGTTTAAACAAGAGAGAAGAGTGTGAAAATGTTCGAGTCTGTCTGAGAAAAGTGTATAACCTGTGTAGTGACGGGTTTTAAAACAGCTATAATAACTGTAAAAAATAAAGGTGGCTACTTCGCAGACTTCACCTACCGCTGGTTATTTTTGGAACGCAACTCGTGATAAACGAGGGGCCGCTGAATAACACTGACTAACACGTTCTTATATTTGATCTCTCTACAGCAATGGACAAAAGTTTTGTTAGTGGCACAAATTTGGTGTTTGACACACTAAATCACATTAAGATCTGGGGATGAATCCAAAATGTTAATCCGATGATCTCTGTGTCCCTTGGTTGGACCTTCTGCCTCGTTACAATCTTACATCGTGCTGGAAAATCGCTCGTCGAAGTTTTTAGTGTCACACAGTGTGATTTACTTAATGCAGGAACGATCGTCACCAATTATTTGCGATAAATTGTCACCAATTTGTGGCAATGAGAATACTTTTTATTTGTGAGTTCATGTTTATAGATATTAACTTGTGTTCAGCTCAATTTAATTTACAGCGAGCGCTTACAATCTCTTTAACTCTAAACGTACATCACTGCCATTCATCCCTCTGCTGTGTGCAGACTGAGATAATTCCATAAAAATTAAAGCATCAGTGCGCCGACTCCACGATGCAGCAACGCTAATCCTGACAGAGTCGAGATTATAGAGATTAACCGACAGCAGCCAACAATATTATGTTTGAGTGTGACGCTGTTGGAGGAAGGAGGAGGAAGAGAAAATAAAGGGTGGAGACGTTACCTTTCCCTGAGGTTTGTATGTTTCCTGAGGAGTTTCTTCAGCCCTCCGTGTTTAAAGGCCTGGTGATGATCGGCTGGAGCACCAAAGGTTATAACGTCATACCAAACACCTGAGGACAGAGATGAGTGAGTGAGAGAGCTTTGTAGCATCTAAAGCACAGAGAGAGAGAGAAAGGTGAAGATGGGAAACAAAACACTTTATAATAACATCATCAGTAAATCATAATGTGGTGTTTACAGCTGCTACATGATACATGATAATGCCTACAAACTGGTAACCAATTCCAATTAAACCAGTTTAACCAGCCACATAAAGTTCATAGATGATGTTTAGGAATGTTTAAGTAAGCCGGTGGGGTGGCAGTAGTACCAGTCTGTGAACCTTTGTACCCCGTTTCATTTTTACTTTTGCTTTCACCTTTACTTTAGGAAAACCTGTGGTGTGAGTTACTATAAAACAGCCTCGACTGAGCGCTGTCTCGCTGTTCATACCACACACGCACCACAGGCCTGAAGAAGAAGGAAGCCGCAGACTGAGACAACAGCCGCGTTGACATAAAATGTTATTTTCTGCTTTTATTCACACAACCAACATAAAGGGGAATTACACCACTACTAATGATGGCAAACATTTTTTATTATTAACAGTAAAATAACTACTTGATAAAGTTTAAACCACGATTGTTTGCTTATGTCTGATGGTTATTGTAAAGTGTCGTCAAAAGTCGATAAAAAATACACAACAGAAATAAGAAGCAGTTAAAGAAAGTTCGGTTATGATTTAGAAACACTTAAATAATATTTAAATATTTGAGCATTTTTAATTTATGTCAACATAACAAATACATCTTTTTATTCTTATTTATCAGCATCGACTGGGATGCAACAAAAACCTGCAGTAATTTACCTGCAAGCTGTTCACAAAACACATTGAAATTAGACGGACACACTTGTAACTGCTGCAAACGGGAGCAGGAAAGCGTGCTGCGCTGTGAGACGCTTCATACCGTGCAAACAGGACACAGCATCAAAGATGGCTACCGCTGTCAGAAAGTCCTGTACGGTACTCTGCAGGGCAAATCTGCTACGTAACGCTAGAATGATACAGTTCTGCCACAATTAACCACAGTCAGTGTGGAGCGGTTACCACCGAATACTGTTACGACTTGACTCGTAAGCCACAACTACAATTAGAGACTGATGCTGCAGCTTTTAAACCAACAACAGTCTTATTAAAACCTCTAGATGTTCAGTTTTACAGGTAACGTGTATAGCTTAAGCTATGATTAGATACATTCATGGGGTGCACTTTGGTCCGAGTCTGTGCAGATGTCCACATGTTTTTGTAACCTGTGACCTCATCTGCAGAGAATTTAAATCACAATCCAAATATGTAGCTCCAACCTTTACACCAGGGGTGTCAAACACGAGGCCCGGGAGCCAGAATAGGCCTTGAAAAGACTTAAAGCTGGCCCACTGGATGACTTTGAAAATAAGCTAGCTTTTTTACTTTTAACTGTATTTTCATTGGTTTTACAGCTTTTTCTATTGATAAGGGACCGCACCCCTGGGGTAATATGAATTCATACCACACACTACAGCAGAGTAATTAAGTAATCGATAAACAAGGAAATGACAGTAAAGTTCCTGTTTTTTATTATTTACCACAGAAATGTCTGTTTTTATTCTTTATATTGAGTCAACAGGGGGAAAACAAACCCCCTCAACAAACAACCTTTTCTGTGAATTAATTTAAATTCTTTAATTAAAGGACAATCTGGATGAGCCGCTATCAGAACATTTTCTGTAACTTTAAATATTTCTCATGTAGTTTCAGCGAGCTGTATGAGCCCATGATTTAAAATGAGTTCGACTTCCCTGCATTAAACAGTCTCTGTGAGGCCAGCGGTGGTTTCAGACCAAATCACACGTTAGCTTTGAAATGCTCATCTCTAAGAAGCAGGAGGCTCACGGGTGTACCTGTGCTGTCGGGACTGGTGACCTCCATCCTCTGCGTGTGTAGGTTGGTCGGAACAAACTGAAGGTGTCTGTCTGACTTACTGGTGCTCGACTTAAAACAGGATGAAGCTGCGGATATATCAGGATATATCAGTTCTGTGTACTTCCAGATAGTATCTGTGGAAAAAGCTAAAATCCGCGTGAAGATCACGTGACCTCACCTGAGACTTTTTCGAGCTCAGCGAGCAGTTCCTGATAGCAGCCGGTCACGTGGTTACAGTGGCTGACGACATCATGGCGAAGGCCATCCCAGTGGGGTGAAAGGTCACCGAGTTCCTTCACTTCCTGAATTCTAACAGGAAAAAAAAAACTTCAGGCTGAAAGAAAAAAAACTTTCAGTCTGTTTTTTTCTACTCTTGGATCTTTATGATGTCATAGGCAGGTGATATCCTTGACGATCTCACAGAAGCCCCGCCCAGCTGCTGTTGTCAGGGGCAGCTGAAAACAGTGGTTGTCTAACTTTTGTTGCGTGTAATAACATTACACCCACACGTATGTCCCTCCACACGTTTTCCCTGCTTGTTCATCTCGTATCTGCAGTTGCTCTGCGCCCTCTGGATAAAATGAGGGAGGTCCACAAAGGGAGGAGCTAAAACATCTTGTTCCTTACAGAGGATGACCTGGGGTGCTGCACCAACGCCCAGAATAAGATAAACAAGGAAGAGTTTGAACTACTAAAGAATAAACTGCAGTTTCAAGGTGATTTTGATCCGGTACCTGAGTTCAGGTTATTGAGATAATAGATTAGTTCTGAAGGGTCGTTTTCTTACAGACTTTTATTTTTGCATAGGTTGTGTTTTTTTTTTATTTCTATTTACATATATATGTAAACCCAGCCAAAAATAACATCATGAACAACTTCCAGGAAGCACAGTGTGAAAACATGCACGACCACATTATCTCATCTCTGCAGGGATGCACTAATCTAACGTTAGAATCGCATATCCATCCAGTCCTGACTCAACGTGCTGGATCTGTGTCAGCATGCCGACTTATGGACACGTCTGTTTCAGTTCTGTTGTCTTGTGTTTACTTCAGCATGTAGCTCGCAGAGAGCTAACATAGCTTGGAGGACGTTAACAACATCGTTTAGGTGATCCTGAACTAAAAACTTTTTCAAGTTGTTTAAATGTACATTTTATTTACACAAGTATAGTAAACATGTCTGCTTATGTAATCATCAGAAATGCATATACTGTCAAATAAAACAAGACTCAAATGTTAGTAATCACCCCCTGAAGGCCCAGTCTGAGCAAAGAACAAGCCCTGCATACCTGTTTGTATGTTCCTGTGTGAGCAAGCTCAGCAACTGTTTGGGTAAAGAGAAAGAAAGCGGCGTCTCTGACATCTGTTCCCTGACCAGCAGCCACCTCTGATCTTCTGTCTTAAACCTGTACACCTTAGAGACCTGAGCACACAGCACTGCACACACACACACACACAC